GCCAAATACAGTTTTCTAGGCTTTGGATGCAGGCTCCCTGTAACCGCTACACCACGCTGCCTCTCCCTCGCCTCTTTGGGCCCGACTGAGCCCTGCTCCTCTGCTCTCCCAGGATCCGACCAACGGGTACTACAACGTCCGGGCCCACGAGGACCGCCCCTCCTCGCGCACGGTGCTGTACGGCGACTACCGCAACCCCGCCCCGGCCNGAGAACTACGGGGGCCACGCGGGGTTTCCGCCCAGCGCCGGCTACGCCACCTACCGCCTGGGCTACACCCAGCCGCCCCCGACCGCCCTGGACCGGACCCCCTTCGACAGCTACGACCCGCTGGGCAAATACAGCACCGCCACCCGCTTCTCCTACACCTCCTCGGACTACGGGCAGCGCTTCCAGCAGCGGATGCAGACGCACGTCTGAACGCAGCGGGCTGGGGGCCGGGAGGGGGTGGGGGTGGTCTGCAGGTACCTCATGACTGTCCCCTGATATTCAGGGGCCTTTTCTCTTCCCCCCCCACCTCCTGCACCCCTTTGCCCAGCCGGCCGGACTTGCTGACGGTGCTGAGCACCCTTCTCGGGGGGCCGACGACGACGCGCTCCCGGCCGGGCCCCTCGGGGTCCTTTCTGTGGATTCTTCTCCATCGGCCGTCTCTCTCTTTCTCTCTCTCCTCCATCTTTTTCTCCATCTTCCTACACCCGTTCGTAGCGGAGGTCCCTCTTCCGCCTGGCTGGGGGGCAGCCCTTCGTTTACGGTGTCCGGAGCAGGGGCCGGAGGGGACTGAATCCCCCTCCCTCTGTCTGGTGGGAATCCCAGCCTCGTTCTGCCTCCGGGGAAACTTCTCTTCCTGCTAGGTGGGCGGGTGACAGGATTTTAGCCGTCCAGGGACCAAACAAGATGGGGGGGGCAAGGCGGGGGAGAGAGAGGGAGAATGGGATTGACTTGATTTCATGTGGACTAGGGACTTGAAGAGGCTGCTAATTCGTTTGCAAGGCCCCCCCTGCGGTGTGCTTTGGCCAGCTGCCCCCAAGCCAAGCCTCTAAAGTTTCCTCCCTCAAGGCAAGCTCTGCCTCTTGGGAATTAGGTACGCAGGGGGGGGGCGGTGATGGGGGGGCTTCCCTTTTCCTTCTGCTTTCTGTGCCTTAAAACTCTGGGCTGGGCGACCCGGCCGCTGCCGTCGGAGCAGAGCGGCCCCTCCAGGAAAGGTGGCCTCCGAGGACCACCAAAGCCCAGAATCCCCCAGCCTGTCTGGCTGGCTAGCTGCAGGATTCTGGGAT